GACCCACACCTTTCACCTCTCACAAAAACCAACTCACGCTGGATAACAGACTTAAACCTAAGGTATGAAACTATTAGAACTCTAGAGGAAAAAGTTGGAAACACTCTCCTAGACATCGGCCTGGGCAAAGAGTTTATGAAGAAGTCCCCAAAGGCAATCACAGCAGCAACAAAAATAAATAAATGGGACATGATCAAACTACAAAGCTTCTGCACAGCCAAAGAAATAGTCATGAAAGTAAACAGACAACCTACAGAATGGGAGAAAATTTTTGCATCCTATGCATCCGATAAGGGACTGATAACTAGAATATACTTAGAACTTACGAAAATCAGGAAGAAAAAATCAAATAACCCCATTAAAAAGTGGGCAAAGGACTTGAACAGAAACTTTTCTAAAGAAGACAGAAGAATGGCCAACAAACATATGAAAAAATGCTCAACATCCCTAATCATTAGGGAAATGCAAATCAAAACCACAATGAGATATCACTTAACCCCAGTGAGAATGGCCTTTATCAAAAAATCTCCAAACAATAAATGCTGGCGTGGTTGCGGAGAGAGAGGAACACTCCTACACTGCTGGTGGGACTGCAAACTAGTTCAACCTCTGTGGAAAGCAATATGGAGATACCTTAAAGTGATACAAGTGAATCTACCATTTGATCCAGCAATCCCATTGCTGGGCATCTACCCAAAAGATCCAGTGACACTCTACAAAAAAGACACCTGCACTCGAATGTTTATAGCAGCACAATTCATAATTGCAAGGCTGTGGAAACAGCCCAAGTGCCCATCAATCCAAGAATGGATTAATAAAATGTGGTATATGTATACCATGGAGTACTATTCAGCTCTAAGAAACAACAGTGATATAGCACATCTTATATTTTCCTGGTTAGAGCTGGAACCCATACTACTAAGTGAAGTATCCCAAGAATGGAGAAACAAGCACCAGATATATTCTCCAGCAAACTGGTATTAACTGAGTAGCACCTAAGTGGACACATGGGTACTACAGTAATAGGGTATTGGGCAGGTGGGAGGGGGGAGGGGGGCGGGTATATACATACATAATGAGTGAGATGTACACCATCTGGGGGATGGTCATGATGGAGACTCAGACTTTTGGGGGGAGGGGGGGAAATGGGCATTTATTGAAACCTTAAAATCTGTACCCCCATAATATGCCGAAATAAAAAAAAAAGCATTACTATCTTAACAGAACTTCATTAATTTTAACTTTATGAAATAGACAAAACTATAAGGTTGTAAGAGAATGTAAGCAAAGGAATCCAACATTTCCATATAGATAGAATAGAACTCAGAACAAGATTGCTAATGAAAAATAATAATTTTCAATAAATTATCATTTAGAAATGTCTTCACCATGCTATTTATCAATATAGATTGATTCTTTTCAACTTTCTATTATATATAAGCGATATTTTTTTGAAAGAAATAGCTGCATAATGTAGTTGAGCCTTATGAGAACTTCTATAGCTTGCCAAGTATTAGTGAAACTAAGACAAAAATCTATAAAATAAGTAATTTTCCTTCACTTCATCTCACTCCTTTTGGCTGGAATTCATAGATTTCTATTTTCACTCCCATCAAAAGCTAAACGTGAAAGACTCTAATGGCAACATGATTGTGATCGTGGGGTCTTAGTCTCTTCTAGATGCTATAACGAAATACCAAAAACTGAGTAGCTTAAACAACAGACGTATATTTCTTGCAGTTCTAGAGGCTGAAAGGTCTAAGAACAAGAAGTTAGCAGATTCATACCGGGGAAGGCCCGAAAACCGGAACAAAAAACGAACCCTCCCAACGGCCCCAACGGGGGGGAAGGAAAGAACCCGGGCCCCTCCCCCCGCCAAAAAGGCAACGAACCCAACCTGAAGGCCCCAACCCCAACAACCAAACAACCCCCAAAAGCCCCAACCCCCAACAAAACAACCTGGAAAAGAGGATTCAACATAGCAATTTTGGGAAGACGTCAACATTCAGACTGTAGTGTGGGGTGACCATCATCTGTGCTATTTTAAAAGCTCTCAGGAGGTCAGACCATCTCCAATATCTCAGTGCTTAAATATCTTTGAAGGAAAAAAATTACACATCCTTGTCTCTGTCTATCATGGACTTTCTTTGGATGGTTTATGCCTCCCTCTTCCCTCTCCATTCTCTGTGGAGTAGTTGCAGAGCTGGATTACGTCCAGTTCCTCAAAGCCATTAAAACACAAGTAAAAACCACAAATGCACCAACTTCTCAGGGTAAAATAGTTGGTGCATCTCTTCACACATTTAAATTGATTTGGTCTGCTTAAGCCTCCACCCATCAGGGGTGGCAGGAAATGCAGTTGGATAATTTTGAGGGAGCTCTTCCCTCACTGTCTGTGATTCTCAGGAACACAGAGACTTGTGCAATCCAGAGACTTGAGGAAACCCTTGGTTCTAGGTTCTTCTTGTAGCTGCTGCTCCTGGGGCCTCCTGTCCTCCATCCTCCACCCACAGGTTGCATGCAGAGAGAGCCAGCTCCCGCCCTTCAAGCCAGGCTGGAGACAGAGAGACCTGTACAGAGGAACCCAATGTCCAGCCGCCAGGGCGCTTTGCAGTGCCACCCACTTGATGCTCTGCCTTGCTCAGGGTGCTTGCTGGTGATGCATGGGAAGAACCCACCATCCACCTTCCACGGTTCAACACTGTTCTTAGTCACCCCACCTCAATTTGGCCACTGTCCATCTTTGCAACCCTACTTCTCTTAGAAAATCCAGCCACTTAGAATCAAGAGTCTTATCCTTCAGAAATTAAATCTTGTTCATAATTTCCTTTGCCATGGAAGACCGGTCCTTCCCTTCAGGAAATAAGGCTTCAGGCTGGGTTTCTTTCTTCAAAGGGCTATGTCCAAACCTCTCTCATTCTTCTGTGAATATCCTTCCGTTGAGACACGAAAGCACAATCATTTCCTCAGTGTAGCCATCACAACACACAGGACCTTCTCTTTCCAAAGTTGTTCTCAACCCTGGAGGCACATTCAAATCTCCTGGGAGCTTTTAAAATTACCACTGCCCAGGCCCCCAGTCCAGACCAACCAAATAAGAACATCTGTGGGTGGGGGCTTGGGCATTGATAGCGGGCAGGTGAACGCTCCCCAGGTGATTCTAGTGTGCTGTTTGAGAGGAATTATTCTTTAATAATGTAGCATTTTCTTGTCATAATATGCTTACTAGCCTCTAAAGAAGTAAGTCTGTGTACATAAGTCAGTTTTCAAATGGGACACATCCTTCTAAAACAGGAATATATTTGGAGTTGGGCAAAGTGTTGATCCAGTTTATAGGTCACAGAGACCGTGCCTGTGTTTTTATCAGTGTGTCCCCAGTGCCTATAACTGTGACTGCTGTATAGTAGACACTTAATAAATATTTGATAGTTGAAAAAAAAATAGTTCTTTTACAGTTCATATTTCTAATCAAAAGACACATTTAGCTTAAAAAAGCTAAATGGTATTTTCAATTTTATCTATTGCAGAGATTTTAAAGAACACATTTGTGAACCTTCTGAAAGCAACATATAACCAAAAACCATAGGCTCCTTTCTTTCCTTCCATTACTGAATTCTCTACTCTTGACATTCTGCTGAGGTTATATTAGATGATGTGTGGAATAAAGCACAAAACATGCCTGGTACTTTTTTCCCCAAGAGAAAATACATTATATGCAAATACCTGACTATTTTCCCAAAGGCCATAAATTGGGCCGCTAAGGCCTATGGGTTTGGCAGTCTTGACTTTTTAATAGAAATCTTCTGGGAATTTCCTGAGTATGTCTCAGGGTGGTGGAGAAAACTTTTCTACCCAGTTTAGCATTTACATGACTAACTCTGCAAAGGGCTGAGCTGGGGCTGCCACAGAGCATTGCCCACTGTGCAGAGAAGGAAGGATTTGTGCAGGAACAGGGCTCTGAAGGTGGGATTCCCTGTCTGTCTGCCACAGGCTCAAGCCTACGGTGATCAGGTACAAGAGATTGTCTTTAGAGATAGGGGCTAGCATTAATTTCTTTAACTGTCTGTTTTATGCTATGATTAGCACAGACATCACAGTAATTATGGAATGAACCCAGGTTCAGCCTTTCTGACTTCTGGCAACATTAAGGTATGATACTGAACTTTACCAAGCAATGCAATTCAAAGCAAATAAACAAGATATTTCAGTACAATGAGAAAAAGGCATACCTGGAAACCAATGAAAGCAGCAAAATGAAATATTTGATCAAGCAAGACTGTGGTCACAAACCCACTTCCCCAGGTCAACATACGTGTGAGATGTCTTATGTACACTGGAAACATTCTAAGAGTGAATGAACTAAATTCACTTCCCTTGAGCTAATGACTTTTGTTCTGTATTATGCAATACTTACATAATCCACTGAATCTAAAAATAAAATTAATTGACTGTCCCTTCTGACTCTTCCTCAAATAATACTCTAATTTGAAGCATACAATGGATATAAGCCACATGACTAAGTTTTAATGCAAAAAAAATGCAAAACTTCTCCTCTCTTTCTGTCTGCCAATTCACTGGCAAGCGTGAATTATTCATAAATACAGAGTTGGTTAATGTTTTTTAACAATGCAGCATATTTTCCTCTGTGGTTTCTAGCTTGGGTAACAGTTTTGGCATCATGACATACGAACCAAATTGCAGCAAGTCCTCATCTTATTTTCTGCCTATTAGGGAAATAAGTTCATTGCCTAAGTAATGGATCATCAATAGATATCAAAAATAAGGAAAATTAAGTTTATCTTTTGCATGGCAGTTTTGGCTACAGTATCTGTGCGAGAAACAATGAAATAAAGAATGGCTTGATAAAGACGTTTTAACAGATAAAAAAATATTATTCAATAGCTTCTCACTAGTTTTGCCTAAAAATTTTGACTAAATTGTGGTTCCATCCATTGAGAAGGAGATGGTAATATCAAAGAATGCATAAACTGGACTGACAGATCCTTTAATCTCAGAATTATTGAGATTAAACTGCGAATAGTTTAGACTTGAATTTTCAAAATGTATTTCTTTTTAAATACACTGATCTATTCCAATTTGCTTCTCAAACAATGCTGTTCTTTTCTAAGGGGTTTTCAGAATTGAATCTGGCTTCCCGGGCTATAGGCAGGACAGGGGGTTGTGTATACTGAGTCATAAATTAATGCATTTACAACTGCTCTAAAGTGATTACTATGGACTGAATCTCAAGTGCTTCACAGTTATATTATTCTTACACTTATAATTACCTGGAAAGGTGTTTAGATGGCTTGCACTATTTATGGGCCATAAATGCTTGGTGTAACCAATATTTTATCTGCCACGTCTTATTTATTTCCATTGTGGATGCAAAGTATCAGAGCAATTTAAGATCTTACTGAGTGAGAAAATTGGAAAGGAATAGTAACCTGGTATCTGTCATTATTTTATTCCAGCTAAATAAAATAAAAAATATCAAGCTACCCAGGGAGGCCCACATCACACTTTTCACATGCAGAACAGTAAGACCTTTCATCTATTCATCAGTTTATGGACATTTTTTTTCTGTTTGAAACTAAGTTTGTGGTAATTTGTTACAACAGCAATAGAAAATTAATACAACATCTCACTGGTTTTTTTTTCCCTAAAAAAAACAACATTACATCAGTCTCTTCCTCACCCATAAAGCTGGGCAAGAAGATGTGCCTGTGTCCCCAGCCTCCCTGCTCTGCTTGACCTCAGTCATCTGAGATTTCTGGGGCTCTCGTCTTCATCTGGGTTATGAAGTCACACATTGGAATTGAGAGTTTTGAAGAAATTCTGATGGCAGGTTCCTCCCTGAGAAATGATTTAATTACTTAGGTGAATCTCATGAACAGATCTCCCCATATCCTCTCGACTGAGGGGGAATGTTTGGAAACACAGAATCCTGCAAACCATCTGTCTGCGCCAAAAACGAAAGGAATCACTTTTACGTAGCTTATGGGAAGACCAGGATCAGACCGAACTTCCAGACATTTCAGTGGGGAGGGTCGACTAGAACTTGCTGTGAGAATTCCTGTATTGCTCGAAAGGATCTCTTGGGTTGAAAGTCACAGAAGCCAGGTTGCGAGGGCTTGAGCCAAAGGAGGGCTGTGTTGTAAGGGACGGTGTGAGGGTGTCCCCGGACAGGCATGGAGCTGGTTCCAGGCACTGGCCTTCCCTGCCTCCCTGGGCACACGTGTGATGGGGCAGCTAGTCCGCAGGAGCTCCTTGAGTGCACCCTTCCTTACCGTCAGGACCGGGGACCAGGCGGCTGGCTCTGAGTTCTGATTCTAATAATCTCTGGGAAGATAGATGGTGATTGGCCCAGCTGTGGCCGAGGAGACCAAGAACAATTGTGAAGCACACATTGTGTCAGCGAGCAGAAGAAGTGCTGGGGAGGACGGACTAGCCAGGGAGGGGAACAGGGACTCCAGGTGAGGAAGAGGAGTTCACGTTTAAATAGGCAGTCCAGAGAGCGCCACGCTAAGGAGTGATCTTTGAGTAGATGCCTGACGTTACAGTGCGATCAGGGTCCCTGCGTAGGAGAGGGAGGGAAGTAGACCACCTTGGGAGTGTCTGGTAGATGGAGACCGACCAGTCCACTAGGACACGTGTCCCATGTTGGGGCAGTGATGCCAGACCGAATACCTTCTGTGTCACCACTGCTTCCTGCCACTTGCTGGCAGAGTATCTGCATGTTTGCTAATGTCTCTGAGCCTCACCTTCCTCCCCTGAATGATGGGCATGGTCGCCCCTGCTTTGCACACCTAGCTAATGGATGTGAGAATGCCCCGCACACTGCTCAGGGCTGTCTATTTTAGGAAAAGGAAACCCCCCTATCCCCCCCACAAACCATTTTCCCCTCGGTTCAAGTCAGCCAGCCTCAGAAATTAACAAGTTGCTCCCAGCATTGACTCTACATTTCTGATCTCTTAAATGTGGTTTAATGAGTTGATTTAATTTTAACTTAAAATTCATTAAAATGTATTTGCTCAAAGTAAATATTTAAATGAATATTACATACGCTAGGGAAGAAAGAAGTTTGTTTAATTACATGTCTTCTCTCTGGGAGCAATCTCGGTTTTCTCTGTACAAGATGATTCTCCTATTAATGGCAATATCTTCCGCCCTGGGGAAGCCACAGTGAAAGCAACCAAGCCCCTGCACAAACTGAGAGCATCCGAGTTTGGGGCAGTGGCGGGGGGGCGGTGTTGGAATACTGTGGCTGGAAATGGCTGCCTTCCAAAAAATGTATCATCTTGCAGTGACAGAGATACACCTGTGTTGGGATGATAGAATAAGGTATGTGTGTTCCCCACATTCCTTGTACTTTTGTGCACAACCAGGGCATTTCTGGCTTATTGTAGAAATGACAACACTTAGAGAAGACATGTGCATAAGAAGGAAATGAGTCTATGTTTGGCTTTTAAGATTCGTGGTAGAATTTACAAACTTAATACAGAACCAAAGCTCTCAAAAGAGGAGAAAAGTTTTTTTTTTGAGTTATAAGATTCTGTTTCTGTTGGATTTAAGCTTTTAGATTCTGACCTAAACAGTAGGCAAAGAAGACGTGTGATTTGTGGGAATTTCTCCTGTTCACATGCGTGGGAGGCGGGTAAGGGAAGGCAGGAGAGAAAAAGCAGGGGGGGATGTGCAGTGTCCTAGGCTGATGGGGGTTGGGTGACGCGTCCCCGCCCTCAGAAGCTTGGGGATCTGGAAATAGCAGCAACCCCATGGGAGGTTCTTCATGCCTCTCTGGCTTGAGAGTTAAGCAAAAACAGACACACGTGGACCCTAGGCAGAGGGTGCTGGGGGAACCCCCAAAGTCCTGTGTTTGCCAACCAGGTAAAGGAAAGGAGAGAATAGTGCTCGTGTGTGACGGAGATGAGCCACGTACACTGTGCAGAGCTGGAGGACAGCACGGAGCCTCTACCTGGGACGGGACCAGCAGATACTTGATCAGGGTCATTGGACACCTGCCCTCACCCACGGCGGTGGGCCTTAGTTGTATCATCTACAAAATGGGGAGGTTAATAGTTCTGAAGACAGTATGCCACAGTGGAGCTTTCCTGTATGCTTGGTGGGAAGGCAAAATGACGTAGCCACTTTGGAAAACCACTGGCGTGTCTTACAAAGCTAAACGTACGCGTATCATATGACCGAGAATTCCTCTCCCAGGTGTTTACCCAAGTGATGGAAGCACATCTCCGCATGAAATCCTACGTGCCAAAGTTTATAGTGGCTTTAGTCAGTACTATTCCTCCTTCCTGCTTTAGCGCTTAGGTGCTCCTGCACCTCATCAGTGGACTCGATGTTGCCTGTAAGCAGCCACAGTATGTGTGCTGAAGAGCCTGCCCTGGGTGATGTTAGGAGAAATCATCAGTATCTGCAACTGCACGGGAGCCCCGCCTCCGTGTTTTGACCATGCTCACTTCTACTTCCAGCCCTCAACGAGTCTGAAGACAAGAGATCCAGGCCCCTTTCTCACTGTGTCACTCAAGGCTTACTTTACCTACTTCAATATCCGATTTGCACCGAGGAGATAAAAGCCATCTATCATTTTTTTTGGAGGAAAAAGGCATTCAGGGAAATCTATACTATTTTTCCATTTTAAGAGTACCCTGATCATTTCCAGAAAAATCAAATTATGACAGCAAAAGAATCCTTAAAGAGATGCCCTTCTCATTATACCTTCAACTAGCTGAGAAGGCAAATTCTGCCTTTTTTAATATATGGAGCAGACCACATGTGTAACGTTTTGTATTAGAATGGTTATTAGGGGATGGCAATGTATGCCTCCAAGGGTGAATGTCTTCAGGCTACCTTCATTTATTTAGGGTTGAAAAAATATTGTGATATATTAACCTTTATTCACCTTCTCACATTCAGAGTTGGCTCTGTGCTCATTAGTGCTTCAGGAGAGGTATGGGGAAAATGAAACATAGAACTACCCTGTAAGATTTTGTCTGTGGTTTCCTAAAAGGTTAGCAGTAACAATCTTATTAGCTAACACTTGGAGAAGACTGTCCTTGTGCCAGCTGCTATTCTAAACCTTCTACATTTGTTAACCCTTTTAATCCTTGCAACTACCCTATGAGAGCAGTTACTATTTATCACTCCCATTTCACAGAAAGCGAAACTGAGGCACAGAGATGTTAAATACGTCACCCAGATTTGCACAGCTATTGTGTCAAAGTCAGGATTTGGACACAGGCAGTCTGAATTCAAATTCCGTGCATTTCAGGACAAGACTATAAGGCTTCCCAAGCTTTAAGGCCTCCCTACACTGAACTGTCTTTCCAGAAACCTTAAATAATTATATTAAGAGGTAAAAGCAAGAGGGTCGTCAAATGCTTTTGGCTATAAACAGGAAGGGAGAGAGATTACTGAAACTGAAAACAAATCTCCTTCTCCTCCTTGTGACTGGTGTGGCAGAGCAGTGATGGATGGATTTCGAGAATGGAAGAGCCAGAGGCAAGAGGTCAGAGGAGAAATACCCCCGAGGGACTTGCTTCCCACCAGTGGGTCTAACAGGATAGACCTAGATTTACTGCGAAACTAATGAAGCTTACTTAAGCTTCAGGGCTGTTGTTGGCAGGACCCCTTCCAAGCCTGTGTGTGGCACTACAAATGTGTTTACATGGTCATATGTGTTTGCAAATTTTACAATAGTAAGATATTTGAATTTCAATTTGTTAGGGTGGCAGTTTCTTCCCACTGTTATTTAGACACCATCATACTTTGACTCATGAACTCTGGTGATGAGTGGCCACAGGCATTTTTGGATCTCGAGCAAGATAAATTGAGCTGGAGATGCATTTCAGTGGGGATTATTGGGTCATGAGTATGAGGTTAGCAGTCACAGCTGTGGAACGTTCAGTTACTGATAGAAATATTTTCTTCTCCCCTGCACTGACACACTTGGTAGAGGAAACAAAACAAGATTTGACACATCTGGAGCTATATTCTCATCTGTGCAAAATTCACCCATTTATCAGACAAGTAACACTGTACATGGAGAATTCAGTATTCACTGACATCCAAGCAAATGGAAATTCTCTCTTATAGGCATATATCTGGCAATGCAGCATATACACTGTTATAAATGCATCACATACTTTTTTCTGCTCTGATGAGGCTTGCACAAAAACAAAGCAGTACAACAAATCTCAGATATGTTAAAGATATTAGGCATCACAAATATCAATAATAAAAAGGTAGAAGGAATACTTGAATTTTGCATATAATTATAATAAAATAGTTCAAATAAAATGGTTCAAAATAATTCAAATAAAAATGTTCTCAAGGAATTTCCAAAAACCATCTATGTAAAAAAAAATCAGTATTATGAGGTGTGTCAGTCAACAACAAAATTCCATTCATTTCCTAAAATTTTGTGACATCTGTGGTGTTTGTCAGGTTTTTAAAAGTTGTAACCTGTTGGGATTTATTTTCTCACCTTAAGTAAATAGTCACACTTGTACCTGATTTTTATTTGAAATTGTTTATTCTTTTTTTCTTAAAGAGGGTTCCTAATCTTTAGGCCCCATGAAACCTGGAGCCCATTTTGCTCTCTCCATACATGAAGGTAACCAGGGCATCCCTTACCAGGTTGAGAGAACCAACCCAGCCCTGGGAGAGTCTAGTTCCATCAGTCTGGCTTAGAGCCCAGGCATCTCTATATAGTGTCGAGTTTTCTATGGATTCTAAAGTGCAGCCGCAGTTGAAAACACCTAGCCCAAGTGGAGAGAGACCATGAAACATCCCTGTGTCATAAGCACAGCCCCAAACCAAGAGCAAGTGAAAACCCAGCGAGAAGCTGGGGGAACCGAGAAGGAAGCAGGACAGGGCCCCCTCAGGTGGCTGAAGAACCTTTCCGGACTCTGCAACTTCAGGGCTCCTGGGGTGGACAGAGCTGAAGGTCAGGGTCCACCAGGGTCAGGTGTAATGAAGACTTATTTGAAACGTCATTTGAATTACAGAAAATATTTTATGTGCATATTCATCCACAGATCTACATCTGTCCCCTCTCCCTCCAGAAAGTGGCATCCTCCCTGTAATCAAGGGAACCTTGACATTTCCTTGGAAGGGGCTGAGATCACTTTTGAAAGAGGCCACACTTGGCAACATCTGGCTCCCGTTACCTGTTCACTTCTCACTTGCTGGTAACCGACGTCAGAGTTGGGATTAGTTAGAGGGGCACCCACAGTTTGTGGTGACAAGTAGCCCTTTCTGGTGTTTGTTTGGCCATTGCTATTTAGGGATTATTTGTTACTTCTGTATAAGTGTGCCCTTGCTGACTGATACACTTCCTGAACTCAGCCACATAAAGGCAATGTAATTGACCCCTATTGTAGCTACTTAGAATTAAGCAGTTACTAAGCTATGATACATTTGCTGCTTGATAATTAGAATGTACAGAAATAAATGTCAT